CACACACACACACACACTTCAGACTTTCGCAGAGCGGTAGCTCTCTGCTACCTGGCAAATCATACAGGAACACAGAATAATTCTGAGATGAAGAAACAACCAGCAAACCAAACCAGATCAGAAGCCCTTCAACAAAAACCAAAGCGCACAACGCTGACTAATAAGAGTAATAATAATAATAATAATAATAATAATAATAATAATAATACAAAGTCATAATGACAACAACCAGGAACAAAACCCAAGGCCAAACCGACCACACCAGGAGGCTAAAATCGAAGCGACTCCCGTGTTGGTTTCACCTCGGCGATCAGCAGGAGAAGGAAACCATTCCTCCCACGCCGGCTTCCCCCTTCCCACGTCCCCTGCTGGCCCGTGGCTAACCAATGGGACTCATCACACCCGCCGGTCCTTTTTGAAATGGCCGTGCCCCGCAGTGTCTCATCCACCACTTGTGCGTGTGTGTGAAAGACGTGAATCTGCTTCTGTGTACGTGTGTGTGTGTGATCCATGCAGGTATGTGAGCGGTACATCTTTGCGTGCGTGCGTGCGTGCGTGTGTGTAATCCACGCTGGTACGTGATAGGCACTGCTCTGCCTGTATGTGTGTGTGTGTGATCCACGCTGGCACGTGTGAGAGGCACATCTCTGCCTCTGTGTGTGTGTGTGTGAGAGAGAGAGAGACAGCGAGGGAGCGAGTCTTTAGTGGCTGCTGGGCTGGGTGAGCAGGGGCCCGCGGGCCGCCCCCTGACACGTCCATGGGGACGGCTGCGGGGACTGGGAGATGCGGGGAAAGCGCCCTCACCTCGCGTCACCCCGCCTCCGTCCTACCCTGCCCCAGGGCCGGCAGGCGGGTCCAGCCGGGTGCGGTGCTCTCCTCCTGGCGGGACACCGGCGCGACGTGCTGAGCTGGCCCGGGAAGAGCCGGCCGGCCCTGGTCCTGGGGGCAGAGGAAGCTCAGCTGAGGCAGCCCCTCCTGCTGCAGGGCCCGGGGGAGGGGACGGGGGTATCCCTCTCTCGCTCCCCCGCCTCGTCCCCACACTCCCCCAAATACAAGGATTGCATTTAGAAGGAAAGACATCCAGCTCCTTTTCCTCCTCCAGCCCCAGGCATCAGATACATGTCTCTGGCCTCCTGGCTGGGACCGGCGAGCAGACGGGCTATTTATCCCTATTAATCCCGCGGCAAATGAAAGGGAATTAGAGGCTTGTTGGTTTAATTGATCCCTGGCTTCATCCTGAGGAGCAGAACCCGGAGCTGTCAGCTCTGTGCGCGTGCGTGCGTGCGTGCGTGTGTGTGTGTGTGTGTGTGTGT